ATTTATTTATTTTTGGCTGTGTTGGGTCTTTGTTTCTGTGCGAAGGCTTTCTCTAGTTGCGGCAAGCAGGGGCCACTCTTCATCGCGGTGTGCAGGCCTTTCACTATCGCGGCCTCTCTTGTTGCTGAGCACAGGCTCCAGACGCGCAGGCTCAGTAGTTGTGGCTCACGGGCCCAGCTGCTCTGCGGCATGTGGGATCTTCCCAGACCAGGGCTCGAACCCACGTCCCCTGCTTTGGCAGGCATATTCTCAACCACTGCGCCACCAGGGAAGCCCCATGTAGTCTTTTTGATGATGGCAATAATCAATCTTTTTTTGTAATAGATTTATTGATTGATTGATTGATTGATTGCTGCGTTGGGTCTTCATTGCTGCACCCAGGCTTTCTCTAGTTGTGGTGAGCGGGGGATACTCTTCGTTGCGGTACACGGGCTTCTCATTTCAGTGGCATCTCTTGTTGTGGAGCACAGGCTCTAGGCACGTGAGCTTCAGTAGTTGTGGCACGCGGGCTTAGTAGTTGTGGCTCATGGGCTTAGTTGCTCCGTGGCATGTGGGATCTTCCTGGACCAGGGCTCGAACCCGTGTCCTCTGCATTGGCAGGCAGATTCTTAACCACTGTGCCATCAGGGAAGCCCCAGTCTTCTTTTTTGTTGTTGCTCAAGCTGTCCCATCTTTGGCCAAAAGTAGCCTTCTCACATTGCATAGCGTCCTCTGGACACAGCCCCATTTCACACTCACCCTCTTGCTTTCTTACTGCACAAGATTTCACACCTGCCACCCGCCCCTTCATATTTCCGGTCCAGCTCTGGAATCGGCCATTTCTCCATGAAGGCCCTTTTTCAGTGGTGTCCCATCTGGGTGCCAGGGGTACTCATTGCTACTGGGTGGTCATCATTTCCAGGCCTTTCCAGTGGACAGAGCTAGGAAACACAGACTTTTGAAAGGAAAAAAAAATCACAAGTTCTACTGTTATTTCCAGCTCACACTTAATGTCACAGTGTTTTACTTCTCTCTTCTCTTTTCCCTAAAAAATCTGGTTCCTAAAACCACTGACATTGTCATTTGCATTATTCCATTAGATGCAAAATAGTTTCCAAATAACATACCGATTTTAACTACTGAGAATAAAACGACCAAAGGAAGATCTGTTTGCAGCTCTGGTTTTCCTTTACAATAGGTCTCTCTGTGGACATACCACAAAAACACTGGGTCCCTTGAGATAATTATTTTCTGTGTGTAGTTGCAGCGTGACATTGACACATGGGTTCGTTCATTTCACCTTGGCTTTCGATGTTTAGGGATTGCTTTTTTTTTAATTAATTAATTTTGGCTATGTTGGGTCTTCGTTGCTGCATGTGGCCTTTCTGTAGTAGTGGTGAGCGGGGGGCTACTCTTTGTTGCGGTGTGCATGCTTCTCATTGTGGTGGCTTCTCTTGTTGCAGAGCACTGGCTCTAGGTGCGCAGGCTTCAGTAGTTGCCGCACGCAGGCTCAGTAGCTGTGGCGCACAGGCTTAGTTGCTCCACGGCAATGTGGGATCTTCCTGGCGCAGGGATCGAACCCATGTACCCTGCACTGGCAGGTGAATTCTTAAACACTGCGCCACCAGGGAAGTCCCGGGGATTGCTTTTTTAAATTAAACATTAGAATTTGCACTACATGTAATGATTCCAAAGTCAAAGTCACATAAAAAGGTAGATCCACCCCCACCCCAAACTGTGCTCTCCTTTCCCTGCAGGCAACCGTTTTAATTTTTGGATTGTCCTTTTTGCAAATATAAACCATGTGCGTGCTTGTGTGTGTCCCTCTGCACACAGAAAGTAGCATTCCACATATAGCAGGCTTCCTTTTTTTAATGTTCAGATATACCCTGAAGATGTCACATCAGTGTCAAGAAGTCCTCCTCTTCCTTGCCCCATTTTACAACCAGAATTCCGCTGTGTGGCAGCGCCACTGTTTACTCCTCTGACGCCCCACAGACAGCAAGCCGTTCACAATCTTTTCCCACTACCAACGATGCCCCACTCAATCACCTTCATGTAGCGCTTATTTTTGCTAGCGTCTTTAGGATGGGTTCTCAGGAGTGGAATTGCGGGGTTAAAGAGAAATGTGTCGATGATTTTGATTGATGGCATCACTCTCCTCTTTGTTCCGCATTGCCACCAGCCATTTGTCAACCTGCTTAGGTGTGAAATGGTATTTCGGTGGTTTTAAATGGGCATTTCTCTTATGATGAATGAGGTTGGGCATCTTTTCCAAAGTTCTAGGGCCATTTTCACTTCTTCTTTGGTGCAGTCTTTACATCTTTTGCTCCCTTTTTTCCCCCCTAGTGGACTGGTCTTTTTCTTCTTGATTTTTAGGAACTCTTTGTATATTAGCTGTTTGTGATATGGTTTGCAAATTTTCCCCCCAGTCCAGTTTGTCAATTATTTTTTGACCTTGATTTATTGTGCCTTTTTTTTTTTTTTCTTTTTTGCCACGTGGCACAGCTTGTGAGATCTTAGTTCTCTGACCAGGGATTTAACCCAGGGCCATGGCAGTGAAAGCTCTGAGTCCTAACCTCTGGACTGCCAGGGAACTCCCTATTGCCTCTTTCACATGCAGAAATTATTTTAAAAACTTTCATCCAACTTATCAATATTTTCTGTTATTTCTCCTGAATTTTGAGACATCATGGTTGTTGTTTTTCTCAATCCCAGGTTATAAGGTAATTAATTCATCCATGGTTTCTTTAGTACTTGTATAGTTTTATTTCTTACATTTATGTCTGTGATCCACTGGAACATATCCTGGTTGGGGAAATTTGATAAGGATTCCAAATGGTGAATACAGTTGTCCCCACACCATTTATTTAAAAGTCTGTCCTTTCTCCATTGACTTGAGGTGGCACCCCAGCCACATACCAACTTTCCATATTCACCCGAATCTATTTCTGGACTTGCCATTCTGTTCCAGGGGTCTGTCTGTCCACCTGTGCACTGGTTTAAGGATGGCGGCTTTACCATGTTTTGATATCTGGTAGGTTGGATGCCCCCTTCCCCACCTCCACCGCCCATTGCTTTTCTTTGCCTTGTTTTTCCTGGATACTCCTGCTTATTTTTGTAGACGAATGTTAGAATCAACCCATCTCCACTAAAAAAATCACATTTGGATCACATTAAGATTATAAACTCATTTAGAAACACCCTGACTGCTTTGTAACGTTGAGTCTTCGTACCCAAGAACGTGTATCTCTTCCTTTTGTTCCAGTCTCCTTTTGAGTCACTTAGGAATATTTTACCTAAGTTTTCCTTAAAGATCTTCCTTTAAAGACAGTGCACAGTTTTGGGAAAAGTTTTGCCTGAGTGTTTTATATATATATTTTTTGTCGTTGCTTGTAATGTTATTGTAAACGGGGCCTTCTTTCTTATAACTGGTGATTTTCATATACGTGTAGGCTTCTGTATGTTAATACTACATCCGGTTACTTTATCAAATTCTCTGAAGTCTGTACTAGTTTGTTGATTTTTGTGAGTTTTCCAGAAATAGAATCACACCATCTGCAAACAGACATGATTTTATCTCCTCCTTTCCAATTCGGGTTTCTCCCATTGTTTTCTTTTATCTCGTTGCTTTAGCTAATCCTCTCATATCTTACTAAGTCATAACGTCAAGAGTGGGCAATTATTTTAAAATTAATTAATTAATTTTTGGCTGCATTGGGTCTTCATTGCTGCATGCAGGCTTTCTCTAGTTGCGGCGAGTGGGGGCTACTCTTCGTTGTGGTGCACGGGCTTCTTTTTGCGGTGGCTTCTCTTGTTGTGGAGCAGGGCTCTAGTTACATGGGCTTCAGTAGTTGTGGCTCACAGGCTCTAGAGCACAGGCTCAGTAGTTGTGGTGCACGGGCTTAGTTGTTCCACGGCATGTGGGATCTTCCCAGACAAGGGCTCAAACCCATGTCCCCTGCATTGGCGGGTGGATTCTTAACCACTGCGCTGCCAGGCAAATAAGAGTGGGCAATTTTATCTTATTCCCAACTTCAGCAGGAGAGCAAGTTTCCATTAAATAAGATGCTGGCTGAGGATATATTTACCAATTTCGAGTGTTGTTTTTTGTTTTTCAAATCAGGAATGCGTGAATTTTGTCTTTTAAATTGTTCTGTGTTTCTGAGAATTCTCATATGACTTTTTCTTTACTTAAGATATTAACACAACTGTATCGAACCATCCTTGCTTTCCTGGAGTGAATCCCACTTGGTTGTGTTTTTGTTGTTGTTTTAAAGTGCTGACAGATTCTATTTTGCAAGGAAATTCTGGAGGAAGTAGGAGGAGGTGGGGCTCACAGTGGGCGGCCTCAGAGACCCAGGGAGGTCTCCCTGCAGTGGGAGGCAGCACAGTGGTGAGCTGGCAACTCTTGTACTTTCCCCAATGAAAGTGTCTAGGCAAGAGGAAGGCAAGGAGAAACTGCTTAAATCCATCTTAAAAGGGATATTTCAATCTAAATACCCATCGAGGAACCAGTTAAGTAAATCATAACACATCCACACAACAGCATACTATATAGTGATTAAAAAGGATCGGGAACTTCCTCATGTGCCAATGTGCAACCATCTCCAGCTTACTAAGTGAATAAAATCAAGGGCAAATCAATGTCTTTACCATCTGTATGAAAAAGGAGGAAAAAGAACATCAGAACCAGATCTGCCTGGCAAGTGCGTAAAATACTTCCGGAAAGAAACGCAAGAAATAGAGAACTTGGTTGCCTCCAGGGAGGGTGAAACTGGGTGCCTGGGGACAGCAAGGAGACTCTTCGCCCTTTCCCAGTGGTGTTGTTTTGCCCTACCTGTCCAAAAAATAAACACATAAAACAAAAACTTGGAACTCCAAAAGTAAAACGGACCCAGGGGCCTGGTTATTCTTTACTGGGCCACACCACCCTAGATTCCTGATCTCTGGGGCGGGGGTACACAGGGGGCCAGTGCGCCCAGCCTCTTCCTCACCCAGCCCCCTTCACGCGTGCCTAGGTGGGCCAGGCCCCCAACCTCATCATCGTGTTTGACTGCTCCATGGAGACAATGGTCCAGAGAGTGCTGCACCGGGGCCAGGTGGAGTGCCGGGCCTCTGACTGCAAGTTGGCCATCTGCCAGCGCCTGGAGATGCATTACACCCTGTGTGAGCCCACCCTGGCCTTTTACCAACAGAAGAACCTGCTCCGAAACTAAGTACTCCCTGCTTGCTGCTCACTCCCCTGGCCCTCCAGGGGAGCAAGTCCAGCTGAAACAGCACAGGGGTTATACTGCAGCCCTGAATCCCAGAACTCTGGGCCTCAGTTTCCCCAGCATGTACACTGGGGAGTTCCATTTCTTCCATTAGGCAGAATGGGTGCAGGCTGTGGCCTCCCCGGTATGACACAGAAGGTCTAAACAGAATGGCTCCAAAACTGCAAAATTAAATACATTTTAGAATCTATCT